CTCGAATTGTTTCATATCCCTGGAAACCCGGAGAAACGATTTGGGTAAAAGTGCTCATGTTGTCTAGTTCCTCGACGATAAGGGGTAAGCCGTCCTCGCTCATCTCGTGTGGAGTCACGAGCGCGCGGCAGAGCCTGAGGAAAGGAACTGTTTCATAGGGGAATCGAGAACGAGCGAGTTCGAAAATACCTGCCATCAACCTACGATCACTGGCAAACACAGACCTAGGATCGCTGGCAGGACCAAGAAAGGTCATTTTGTCCCACCGAAGATTATCGGGAGTGCCAGTCAATATGGCCAAAGTGGCCTCCAGGATTTCAGGCGTGTATTCGACACGGTTAATAGCAACTCGAATGATATCAAAAAGATGCAATCGGACCCATTGATCTGTCAAGATATCATCGATTGCTGACATGGATCCAGCCTTGATAGACAATGTGACGACCACACTTAAGACCGACTCGACGAGCTCATCAGTACATAAACGAGCGATCACATCTTCAGCACTATGTTGAGGCATTGAAGCACAGTCGAATAGATCTTCATAAAGTGATGGCTCCATCCCTCGAGAAAGGCCTGTGTTCTCTGTCTTTGCCAGGAATGCAGCTCGGGCTGTGTTGGATTGCTCTTGTTCTCGCCGGTCTCGAGATATACTAGCTGCCTCGGCAAATGCTTGAAGAACCACGCCCCAGAGCAATGCAGCCGAGTTGACGGTGTTCAGGTTCAGGTTCATAGATGCACCCAGGAGGATCTCAGTGACCTGAGATACAGCCTCTTTGGAGAGATAGTAAGGCTTCTGTCCCGGGGGAAAGGCCGTCGGCTCGTTCCCACCGAGGATATGGTTAATGGCAAGGGAGAATCTCAGGAAAGCCAGGGTGACAAGGGAGGTAAAGGCCTGAAGCGGTAATAAGACTTCCAAAGGTTGTTGGCACGGCTAGCATGCTGGTCAGTCTTTGCCAATTAAGTATGTGGGAGCCACTTACCACTTGCAACGGCTCCAAGAAGGAATGTTCGGCCATGAGTTTGACCCAAGATATTACAAGATCGGCAGCCGGGATTTCACTTGACGCCTGAAGTCGATGGAACATAATCTGTAGGATATGAACAATCTCCTCAACGAGAGTAGTCCTCCAGATATCCTCTGTCTCCTGACTACTATCGCTTGCACCTAACCAGCCGCCATCTGATTCCAGATCTCTCAGTCGGTTGCGAATTCCGGTGATACAATCAGTCAGAAGTGTATTCAGTCCCTCTCCGTCGGAATTTTTCTGAAACAGCGTCTCTCCTAGCTTACGCAAAGCCAGAGTGCGCTCGCTCTCATTGATGCTGTTATTGGTGGATTCGCCAGCAAGACCATGTAGAGATAAAATAAGAAGCTTGCGGTAAGTCTTCAAAATATGACTTCTCTCTGAGATATAAAGACTCCGCAATCGCAAGCGTCGGTTGACTTCTGTGTCGAAAGTAGCTGCGTCCTCTTTGTCCGCAGCTTGTCTCAGAACGCTCGCCAGGTTCGGACCAGCCACCGACACACGAAGGTTGTCCGTACCCGCAGCGCTCTGAAGGCTCATGGCCTCCTCCGCCGAAAAAGTCGTTGTCAAGCGCGAAGCAGGCCGATTCTGCCATTCAATAACTGCAATGCGCAGAGCCGCGATCTCGTCAATTTGTGCCTTCTCGCTGAGCCATTGCGCGTCCGACTTGATCTCTTTGAGATCAAACGAGGTTTTGGAATTCGTTTCAACGTGGATTGCCGCGGTCCTAGACTCAAATTCGGACTTGGATTTAGCGGAAGGGCTAGACGAAGGGATCACACTTTGGGATAGCAACTCGGTGCTTTCGGGATGCGAAAGGAAGGCTGCGACATTGCCGCCATTATCGGCATGACCTTCGGGATCGTTGGTATAGAGGAAAGCTCTTCTCCAGGACCTGCGACAAGTTAACAACAAATTAGGATGATGGCTGAGCTGAACGTACAGAAGTTGGACGTCCCCGGAGAAGCACTTGTCCAGGGACGGAAAATAGGCCTCCGGGATGGGAGCCATTTGGCGTGACAATTTAGAACATCATAAAATTCAGAGATACCAGGGCAGGAAGAGTCTCGGAGGGAAGAAAGTAGAAAGGGTTCACAGGTAGCTATAGCTATTGGAAAGCTCCAGGAAGATTTCACTTCTTTCGCGCGCTCAGCGGTCAACAATCCGCACTTCCTATCTTGGCTTAGCGCTGGGCGGTGAAGCATGACAAAAGTTGTTTCTTTTGTCACTGAGTCACTTCGAGCTAATCTGGCTGTGACTTCGACTTTCTTAACAGGAAACGGTGCAGTCAATTGCGATTCGTGTCTCTTAATACTCTTCACTATCTCAATCTCGAAGCCCGGCCCCTCCGGCAAGCTCCACGGTCATGGCGGACCTCGTTGACCACTCCCCCCACCATCCCACCCAAGCTACGAAGCTAGACAGCGCATCCAACGTTATTCTGATCGACAACTACGACTCTTTCACCTGGAACGTCTACCAATATCTGGTTCTTGAGGGAGCTACAGTCACTGTATTCCGCAATGATGAAGTTACTGTGGAGGATCTGATTGCAAAGAAGCCTACTCAGCTGGTCATTAGTCCCGGCCCCGGTCACCCTTCAACAGACGCAGGAATTAGCAACGCTGCGATCCAGTACTTCAGTGGAAAAGTGCCGGTCTTTGGTGTGTGCATGGGTCAACAATGTATCATCTCCTCCTTTGGTGGCAAGGTCGATGTGACCGGCGAGATTCTCCACGGCAAGACCTCGGTCTTGAAGCATGACTCCAAGGGCGTCTACGAGGGACTACCCACTGTCCTCTCCGTCACTCGATACCACTCGCTTGCGGGAACTCACTCGACCATCCCGGAGTCCCTTGAAGTGTCTTCGTGGGCCGAACTCGAGAACGGCAGCGGCGACATTATCATGGGAGTCCGGCACAAGGAGCTTACTGTGGAAGGCGTGCAGTTCCACCCTGAGAGTATTCTGACTGAGTATGGACGGAAGATGTTCAGGAACTTCCTCACCTTGACTTCAGGTACTTGGAACGGGAATAAGCAGAGTGCGACGGTTGCCCCCCAAGTTCCCGCTCCGGTTGATAAGAAAGCATCCATTCTAGATAAAATCTACGCTCATCGCAGGAACGCCGTTGCTGATCAGAAGAAGATTCCCGCCTTGCGACCAGAGGCCCTGCAAGCTGCTTATGACTTGAATATCGCGCCGCCCCAAGTATCCTTCCCTGAGCGGTTGAGACAGTCGGATTATCCCCTCTCATTGATGGCGGAGATCAAACGAGCATCCCCTTCTAAGGGTATCATCGCGGCAGATGTGTGTGCTCCGGCTCAAGCTCGCGAGTATGCTAAAGCCGGTGCCAGTGTCATCTCTGTTCTCACCGAGCCCGAGTGGTTCAAGGGAACAATTGACGATCTTCGAGCAGTGCGTCAAAGTTTGGAGGGTATGGCCAACCGTCCAGCTCTCTTGCGGAAGGAGTTCGTGTTTGATGAATATCAAATTCTCGAGGCACGACTGGCTGGTGCCGACACCGTTCTCTTGATTGTGAAGATGCTTGATATTGAACTTCTTACACGCCTCTACCGGTACTCTCAGAGCCTTGGAATGGAGCCCCTTGTCGAAGTCAACACGCCCGAGGAGATGAAAATTGCAGTTGAATTGGGATCCCAAGTCATTGGTGTGAACAACCGCGACCTTACTAGTTTCGAGGTTGATCTTGGAACTACAAGCCGCCTTATGGATCAAGTCCCCGAGTCCACCATCGTGTGCGCTCTCAGTGGTATTATGGGCCCTAAGGATGTGGAGGCTTACAAGAAGGAGGGTGTGAGAGCTATTCTTGTGGGAGAGGCCTTGATGCGGGCCCCCGACACCTCTTCCTTTGTGGCGCAGCTATTGGGCGGGTCAAAGGCTACATCGACTTCAACATATCCCCCATTGGTGAAGATTTGTGGGACTCGGTCTGAAGAGGCCGCCAAGGTCGCCATCGAAGCTGGAGCCGACATGATCGGTATTATTCAAGTTCCCGGGCGGTCAAGAACAGTCTCGGATGATGTGGCTCTCCGAATCTCTCAGACTATTAAGTCAACACCTCGTCCTGGAGCCCAACAGAATGTGACATCGGAGCAATTATCTAATGCTACTACTTTGGAGTGGTTTGATTATTCCGCTGGCGTCTTGCGGCACCCATCTCGCGCATTGCTTGTGGGCGTTTTCATGAATCAGCCTCTTTCCTACATTCTTAACCAGCAACAAAAGCTTGGACTCGACATTGTACAGCTTCACGGCTCTGAGCCTATTGAATGGGCTAGCTTGATTCCTGTTCCCGTCATTCACAAATTTGCACCTGGTGACCTTGGCATTGCACGTAGGGCATACCACAATCTTCCTTTGTTGGACTCTGGCGCTGGTGGTTCGGGCGAGCTCCTGGAAAAGGCCAGTGTTCAGCAAGTCCTCGACAGCGACGTGGGTTTGCGAGTGATTTTGGCCGGTGGGTTGAACTCCGATAACGTGGTCGATACCGTGAAGAAGCTTGGCGAGTCGGGATCGAAGGTGGTCGGATTGGATGTCAGCTCCGGAGTTGAAACCAACGGTTCTCAGGATTTGGACAAGATTCGTGCTTTCGTGAGAGTTGTCAAGAGCATCCGGGCATGATCTGTTCATGAATTTTGATTCATTTCTCACAAGATAGTTTTCGGGCGATGGTGTGACTTCTCTTCTCACTCCATCTTCGCTTCAGATATTCCGGGTTTATAACAACAGTCACGACGTCATAAATACATGCCTGTTTCAATATGAATGCTTCCCTCTTCTTCCGACACGTGACTTTATACTGCTCCATGATCACGTCTGTCATGATCACGTCTGTCATGATCATGTCTGTCGTAATCTTTATAATTTTCGCTCCTACTCACTCTCCTATTCTACTCAAGTATCAAAAACAAACAGCCATTCACATAATAACTTATTCCATCCTAGTCAAAATGACAGACGACAGTGAAATTGAGGGGCTTCGTATGAGAATCCCTCAGTATTCGTACGGAGGAAGGGACGCCTTTCTGGGCATTATGGAACACGAATTGTCCCTGCCCCTTCCCAAGAACGACGTCCTTCTCTTTACAATCAGCGATCATCAATTCCAACGTGACTTTCTCCACTCAGACGAAACGACCTTTTCACAATCGTGGAAAGAGTACTCTTCCTCTTCTCATTCACTACTCGTCAAAATGCTCTCTGGACCACATGAACAAGCACATTTGACTTTCATTCAAATCATCACTGAGACTGCCAACTCACTCGGTATATCTGATGAGCTACTGTTCCAAGGCGGTAGGACTCAACATCTCAATACAACCTACAAACAGGCCGACAGTTCTATTGTTCCCGTGGCCTTCGCAGCCCGAGGACACCCTACAGTCGCTATTGAAGTTGCCCTGTCAGAATCCAATGCACAGCTTCACAGAGACGCCGAAAACTGGTTGCGAGGCTCCCAAGGGCAGGTCCAATCAGTGATCACGATTCTCATCAAACGGAATACACGCGATTTGGTGATTCGGAGATGGATTATGCAGAAGAACGCCCTGTTCGTGGCCCAGGAAGTCCTCGTCAACGTGCAACTCTTGAGAACCAGATCTCAAGACTCTTTTACAGTCACCGGCGCTCCTTTCATTATTCCTTTCCACCACCTATTTCTACGCCCACCGAGCTCCAATACGAATGAAGCGGATTTCCAATTCAACGTAGCAAATCTCATACGGCTAGCCCAGCGAACCTGGTCCATCTAGTTTTACATTTCTCTTACTTTACACCTCTCAGTCAATACATCTTTACTTCCGAATATCAATTCTCAACTCGATTAAAGTGTGCCCATCGATCCCATATCTATCCTGCAGGCTTTCCTTTCGTATCGACACCAACATTCACATCGACAAGATGGGAAAACCGTTTGAAAAGATTCAAGTCCGTGTCATTGGGTCCTTTGAAGACTCAGACAAAGTATCTGGGTGGATGAAAGCCAACGGCGGTAAATATCACCGATCTTTCAACAGCCAGGTAACCCACCTCATTGTATCTGAAGAAGTCTATCTCAAAAATGGAGAAGAAGGTGAGCCTACCATTTTGAGGTGTTCTAAGCAGTACTGACTTTATCACAGTTGATAAAGCAAAACGGTCCGGCAAAGTGAAGATTGTGTCCTTTGACTGGCTGGAAGACTCCTTGCTGTCACGTTCCAAACGGCCCAAGCCGGAGCAACCTTTTCTATGGTCGACACTTCTTCGAAAGGATGCCAAAGGGAAGAAGACGACGAGTAAGTCTCCCTGAAGACTCTATGAGTTGATGTGGCTGATCTTATAATCGTAGAAGATCCTTTTACAAACAGGGTCACCAAAAACACCACACGCCGAAAGGGCAAGGGTGCAACCATGCGTGCGTCAATGTTACATTTCCTGGCGAATGATACTTCCTGGCTAACGATGCTACAAATCTAGCCAAACCCCTGATATTCACCGATGCCGCTGGCGAGACCTGGGATGCAGAAATCGTGCGACAGAATGTAGCTCCACGCCCTCGATGTAAATTCCGAATCGGAGTAAGTGCAAAATGTACCATTTTTCTAAAAGATTTACTGATTATTTGTAGGTCTTTCAGTCTCTTTCGAAGCCCCCGTGTTATTCAACATACGCCAAATACAGCCAGCTGGGCACTTCTTACGTGGACGAACTAGCATTGCCGAGAAAGGATAAGGACGTTGCTATCTGTGCATTCAAAAAGTTCTTCCTTGCACAGACAGGGAAAGAATGGGGAAATCGATCTGATGGGCAGATTCCGGCCCCTAAGGCGGATAAGGATGGAAATCCTGCACTTGAGGGCTGGTACACATACGAGGACACGTCCAGCCCTTTCTCAAACTGGATCAAAGCATACCAGCCTCCAACTCCTCCAACCGAAGGATCTGACAAGGAGGAATAAGGCTAATTATTAATCTGCGAGGCATCATGAGCATACATTGTGCATGAGAGGGGATATAGCGGAACTGATGAATAGGAAGTTCTTACAAGTTGGGGAAATATACTACTACATTGAAGCCTGAAAAAACGATTAAAAAGGGGTTACTTTCCAAGTTAGAGTACTAGTATGTACCAAGGTTAGACACTTTGAAAGAAACATGAACAAAATCCATCCCAAGACACACTTAACAAGTCTCAATCGATCTATTTTTTCAAACCCTCAAGGCGATCAAAAAAAGAGCGTAGGTGCAACTTAGCCCTGGAGGTAGATAATTCGCTACATTGAATTATCCTACATAGGGGCTGTTGATCTTGAAAATAATAGATAGGAATGATCCTAAGGGTGATGGATTAGAGGGATTCACTACAAGGCAGAAGAAGTTTCAAGTCATGCTGGTTGATAAGCTTTCGTAGTACATTTTTCTCTTCTGGCTGCCATCAAAGCCACCAAGGTATAGTGTGAATATTTAAACGTATAAAATAACATGAAATGGCTAAAAAGCCTTTTAGTCGATTTAGAAACACCAATACGCCAGTGGAGTGCCCCATAGATATCCACACCTATATCCGACACCGTGATGCAAAATTTCCGAAAAGCAATCAAAGGTAATCCTTCTTCTTGCTGGTTCTTGTGTACTGCGTAAGGGCCCATTCAACGTCTCCACTGGAACCCTTCTCGAGAGTGCCTCCTCGAATTTCGAAGAGGCGCATGGTCATACGGGGGCCGACTTCAGCAAGTTCGACGTCCCGGTAACCAGTCTTCACGAAGACATGATGCCGCATTTCAATGCTGTCTTCCTTGTTGACAAAAGTCACGACACGGTTGCCGACTTTTCCAGACTCGCGAGGAGGGAACATATGCTTCAAAATCTGCACCACGCGGGCACCCAGCTTGGTCTTGAAGCCCTCGAAGATCAAGTGAGGGTAGCTCTCGGAAACAGTGCCGCGGGCAGCATTGGGGATATCCGCACGTAGAACGACATTATGCAGAGAGAAGCTCGCAGTCGGGCCGTGAGGAAGATGCGAAATGGTAAGGGCGGTGGGTGTACCACGGTGCTCGTGCAGCAGAATCATGTCGGTCAGAGCAGCAGAAGTGGCGCTCGACACCAGATCGGGCAAAACGAGATTACCACGGTTGAGGCGGATAGCGGTGGGCAGGAGAAGACGGATTTCCTTGGCGAAAGCACCGAGACGAGCAGATGGCGAGCGGGATGTGGTGACCAGCGGGCGAGGATCAATAACGCCGGAAGTCAAAGCGTATTCGTCGTCGACGTCCATATCAGCATCTTGTTCCTTCGTTTCATCGTACTTGAAGTCCTCCCGAAGAGCCTTGTCATTTGCGATTGAAGGATCGAGGGGCTTGCCAGAGGCCAGGGCGGCTTTCAGCTGGGCTCTCTTTTCTGCGATAGAGGCATCGCGGAGGAGCAAAGCTCTCCGGTAAAGGTAGTCGCGACGTTCACGATTTTGACGGCGCTGTTGTACGTTAGCATGGTTGAAGAAGCCAGTTAGAAATGACGGATACCTACCAGCATCTTTGTGGAAGTGTAGACTGAGGTGATCTTCAAAGTTGATGGCGGGCAACTTTTTTTTTCTAATCTCCGGGGCTGCGTAGTTGGTTCGCGAACATCACCGTAGTGGGATCCCACCGATAGAGAATCGCAAATGCGGAGACACTTTTTCGTCCTCCCCAACTCTTCCACTCTCTTTAGTCGGTCTTTTGTGACAAAGAGCTGGATTGGTGAGTATCCTGCTGCCATTTATCTCTGGCTATTCTAACGCATCTCGTCCTTGCAGATCATCGTGCCTTTTGCCCCCCCTCAGGCACACACTTCGGGCGATCGAAGAACCGCACAGGAGGACTGCATTGTTCTCTACGCTCTTTATTACGGCCTGAACTTCTTTCTAGTTAAACCCGCATGTTTGGCACTAAGGGACTACGCTTGTGATTTAACCCCTCACCTTTGGCCCGTCGGTCACTTTACAAACCCGCTTTAATCATGGACAACTATCCTCCGGGTCTGGCAGATGATGCCTCGGTGATGGCAGAGCTGGATGACCACCCCTCGAGTGCTCTTGGCCGAGCTCAACCTCGACAGCATGATGATGAAGATGACGGATCTGAGTACATGGAGGACGACGATTTGGAGAGCACCGTCGGTGGCCCAGCAAACGGAAACCAAAAGGGCCGCGGACATTCGGAAGAAGACAAGGAGCTTCCTGCTCATGCGTGCGCGTAAGTATTCATCGCCGACTTCCTATACGCTTTACTAACTGAGAGATTTTCTAGGTATTGTGGCATCCATAACCCCAGCAGCGTTGTGAAATGTCTTTCGTGCAACAAGTGGTTCTGCAGCGCGCGTGGCAACACATCCTCTTCGCATATCGTCAATCATCTTGTCCGTGCTCGTCACAAGGAAGTCCAGCTGCACCCTGCCTCGTCCCTCGGTGATACCATCCTCGAATGCTACAATTGCGGCACAAAGAACGTCTTCCTACTTGGTTTCATTCCTGCAAAGTCGGATACAGTCGTTGTTCTCCTCTGCCGACAGCCATGCGCCGCTATGCCATCTTCGAAGGATATGAACTGGGATACTTCTCGCTGGCAGCCGCTGATCGAGGACCGCTCCTTCCTGCCGTGGCTCGTTGGTGCACCCACTGATCAAGAACAGCTCCGCGCTCGCCACCTTAGTCCTCAGCTAATTGCGAAGCTGGAGGAAATGTGGAAGGAGAACTCCCAAGCAACTTTGGAAGATTTGGAGAAAGCTACGGCCGTGGATGATGAACCTGCGCCAGTCCTCTTGCGCTACGACGATGCTTTCCAATACCAGAACATTTTCGGCCCTCTTGTCAAGATTGAGGCGGACTACGACCGCAAATTGAAAGAATCCCAGTCGCAGGATGGCCTGATTGTGCGCTGGGATCTCGGTCTTAACAACAAACACCTGGCAAGCTTCGTTCTCCCAAAACTTGAACTTGGAGATGTGAAGTTGGCTGTCGGTGATGAGATGCGCTTAAAGTACAACGGTGAACTGCGCTCCAAATGGGAAGGAGTTGGTTATGTCATCAAAATCCCTAACAACCAGTCTGACGAAGTCACCATTGAATTGCGCTCCAAGGGCGACCACAAGTCGGTGCCGACCGAATGCACCCACAACTTCACCGCGGACTATGTTTGGAAGTCTACCTCCTTCGATCGCATGCAATTTGCCATGAAGACCTTCGCTGTGGATGAGATGAGTGTTTCGGGCTACATCTTCCACCGTCTTCTAGGCCACGAAGTTGCCGCGGCCCCTATGAAGACTCAAATTCCCAAGAAATACAGTGTCCCCGGTCTCCCAGATCTGAACAGTAGTCAAATCAATGCTGTGAAGAGCGTTCTGCAGCGCCCATTGAGCTTGATTCAAGGTCCTCCTGGTACCGGTAAGACAGTGACTTCGGCCACTATCATCTACCATCTTGCCAAGCTCAACGGTGGACAGGTGTTGGTGTGTGCTCCATCCAACGTTGCGGTCGATCAGCTTTGTGAGCGCATACACCGTACCGGCCTCAAGACAGTACGAGTAACTGCCAAGTCTCGCGAGGATGTTGAATCCCCTGTTGGTTTCCTTTCTCTGCATGAACAAGTGCGCATGAACGATAGCAATGTCGAACTTGCAAAGCTCAACCTGCTGAAGGGTGAACTGGGCGAATTGTCTAGTCAGGATGAAAAGCGCCTGAAGCAGCTGACTCGGTCCGCTGAGCGCGAGATTTTGAACAACGCGGATGTTATCTGCTGCACCTGTGTTGGCGCGGGTGATCCTCGCCTTGCCAAATTCAAGTTCCGTACGGTTCTGATTGACGAGTCTACTCAGTCTGCGGAGCCAGAGTGCATGATCCCCCTTGTTCTCGGCTGCAAGCAGGTCGTGCTGGTTGGTGACCACCAGCAGCTTGGCCCTGTCATCATGAATAAGAAGGCAGCCAAGGCAGGTCTGAACCAGTCTCTCTTCGAGCGTCTAGTTATCCTGGGATGCGCACCAATTCGTCTGAACGTCCAGTATCGTATGCATCCGTGTCTCTCTGAGTTCCCATCGAACATGTTTTACGAGGGCTCTCTGCAGAATGGTATCACGATCCAGGATCGCCTTCGCCGTGATGTGGACTTCCCATGGCCTGTGCTTGACATGCCTATGATGTTCTGGTCGAACTTAGGCAATGAGGAAATCTCCGCCTCTGGTACCTCGTACCTCAACCGTACCGAAGCCACAAATGTCGAGAAGATTGTTACCCGTTTCTTCAAGGCTGGTGTTCAGCCCAGGGACATTGGTATCATCACTCCGTACGAGGGACAGCGAAGCTACATCGTCAGTTCCATGCAGGCCAATGGCACCTTCAAGAAGGAGCACTACAAAGAAATTGAAGTGGCATCAGTGGACGCGTTCCAGGGCAGAGAGAAGGACTACATTATTCTGTCTTGTGTTCGTTCCAACGACCACCAGGGCATTGGTTTCTTGAGCGATCCCCGTCGTCTCAACGTGGCTCTTACTCGAGCTCGTTATGGTCTAGTTATTCTCGGTAACCCGAAGGTCCTGTCCAAGCACCCCTTGTGGAACTGCCTCTTGCAGCACTTCAAAGAGGCGCATTGTCTCGTTGAGGGACCTTTGTCTAACCTGCAGGAGTCTCTGATTCAGTTCAGCAGGCCCAAGCAGGCTTATCGGGGTCCCCAGCGCTTCCAGATGTCGTTCAATCAAGCTTCTAACGCTTCTAGCGGCACCACGAACGGCCGAAATGGTCACCGCAACGAGTATCATGACTCAGGCTCCGTGGTTGGCTACATCCCCGACGACGTGTCTTCGGTCCACTCTTCTGCTTTAGGCGGTGTTGGCCTTCCGTCCGGATACCCACCGATGTTCCAGAACTTTGCTGACCAGTGGCCCTCGATCTCTGGCGGTCGCCGTCCCAATGGCGGACGTGCCAAAGGCGCCCCTAGCGTTGCTGGGGAGTCCGTTGCCGCTACCGAGTCTGACATCAACGGAAGCATCGCTGACGGACGTAGCGTCGACCAAGGTGGCGTTAGCCTCACTGATACCCTCAACCGCCTGAGCATCCACGACATGAACAAGCAGCCTAGTCTCAGCCAGTCTGACCGTCTGAAGCGCTACGTGGAGTCTGGTGGACGTGAACCTTATCGGCCTGGCGTCCCCGACAACGGTAGCATCTTCGGAGGTAGCTCTGCCAGTCTTCGCGTCACTCCTCGCGGCCCTCCGGGCCACAACATTCACGACGATGATGACGCGCGCAGTGTTTCCACTGCGTTCGCTAGCCAGGTCGGCGGAAACTATGATTGAGTGGCACGCACAACATACGTTGTATGCTAGGGCCCTCTCCAACAGATTTGCCCCTTTCTATCATAGCGGTGAAGCAGTCTCGAACGACATGTCAGAGTTCCTTCCACCAGCGTCTTACCCGTCCGTCTTTTCACATCGATCGGGAGATCAGATCTGTGAGGCTAGGGTCGATCCGCTACTCTCGGGGCGCTTGAGTTCTTCCGAACTGCCTGTCGAGGTCGTACGCCCCTCACTCTGAAGAAGCGTTCCTCGTGGCCTTACAACATCATCATCATCGCCGTGGTATTCTTTATCATGCGTTGTCAGCGGGCTTTGCTTGACTGGAATTGGCCTTCAGGTATTCTTTCCAGGATACAAGCCTGAAAAGGTAATTGCTAGTCATCGATCTTCGGCCCCAATGAGTCCAGTATCAAATTACCGGGCAGCCTTTAGAGTTTACCCTTTGCCACCTGGGCTCGATCCCTCCCAGCGGTCTTTCTCTCAGACGTCTAGCTATTTTGTTGCTTTGAATCGAGACTATTATGCCTATTGAATTGCTGTTCATGTAAACTTGTAGTCTTTTGTTTTTTTCCTATAGAAAGAGTTCGACTTAGACTGTAGAATGGCCCATAAGTAGTGATTAGTCGGGAAGGGCAAGAAAGGTATAAAAAGATGGACCAAGGATTTCCCAGATTTTGGGGGGGGTTGACAAACTTTCTCCTACTTCAGCACGCGAACACTCTTCTAAGACCCTGCTGGGTCAGTACTGTTGCATATTTGAATTGAGTTCAAGATGATGGAGTATACCCAAGTTTATGGTCATCAGCCAAAAGGCTCTGGTTCGAGACCACATCGTGTTCCCGAGCCTAGGAAAGCACCACAAGCTCCCATGTAAGAAAAAGCCATAGAACCGAGCAGTCATTCCTAGATACACCATCGAACTACTCACATGTAACTGCATACATTCTGCATTCCAGAGAGCCGAATGAGCATTAGGCGATAACCTATAAACTATCATGCAGATTACTCTCTACACACCACTAACGATCGGTTTAGCTAGGACCTTCTCGGCCTCTTTCCCGTGATTGATCTTTCTCCAAATGATCGATACAATCCCAAAGACCTATCTATCTTAATTTGCTCAATATCCGAATATCCTATTCTGAGACTCAAAGAGTAAACCCAATTTTCCACCTAGACCAACTAGTATTTCTGCCTCCGCGCCCCGCGCCCCGCTAGATCTATAGTGTACCAGAAATAGACCATCTCACTTCCCGCTTCACTCGCCCTACGAAGAAGGCCCAAAAATGGAAATACAGCCGCCATGCCGGTCTGCACCCGCAGGATCAGCCATGATCTCCATAGGCACGCACCGCTTATACACCTCAATCTGTGGACCTCCTCGTAAACCAAAGGACCCACTAATCATTATGATCGCTGGTGCAGGCGACGTCGCATCATCCTACACAGCCCTGGTTTCCCTCGTCTCGCGGAAATCTCGGGTCTTACTATACGATCGCTCGGGACTCGGGCATAGTGAGCCCGGTCCAGGACGGCGTGTGGCCGTGAACCATGCGCGGGAACTACACAACCTGCTCGATGCGATGGGGTTGAAAGCACCATTTTTACTAGTTGCGCACTCTTACGGGGCTATTGTTGCCCGCGAATTTCTCCACTTGTATGCTGACGAGATTGTCGGCATGGTTCTGGCTGATGGGGCGACGGAGAGGCAATGTGATTATTTCATCATTCCTGATGAGAATATCATCGCGGTACTCGGTGATTTGAAATGGGCACACGTTACTGGTCTACGAGAGGATTCACGGTTATCCCGGGATGAGTGGCGAGAGCGAGCGATTGATATTGCTCGTGGTGTGGCGGCTGCACAGGCGGAGGCAGACTCTTATGTGGAGGTCTGTCGCACACTGGCAGAGAAACAACAATTGCAGCGTCAAGCGATGGGGAACAAGCCGTTGAGTGTGATTCGCTGTAACGGTGCAAGGGACTATGAGCGGATCTATGACAAGGGTGTGGCGGCTGGGAATGGAACAGCTCAGCAGAGACAGGCATTTCGTGTGCTTTTGGATCAGTGGGATACTATCGATCAGGAGCTGAAAGAGGAGCAGCTGAAGCTGTCATCAAACACAAAGCTGGTGCATTTGCCCGACTGTGGACATAATGTCCATCTGATTCGCCCTGACGTGGTTACGGAGGAAATCGAGTGGGTGCTGGACCAGCTGCATAGCCCAGATCGGGAAGATACGAAGCTCTAGAAAAATTTCCTTATTTGTTGTCAAAGTACTATTCTGTGATTTTGGATCGCCCCGCGCTACTGTAGTTTAATGAGCAGATCTTTCGAATCTTGTGGCCTGTTTTGAGTCCAACGGTTGAACTATACTCACAGCCACCATTATGTGTTTCTAGAACATGCAACGCGTCTTTGACTATGAATAGATAGCATAGCCTGGATATTTGCAAGTAACCTGCACTGGGTCCATGTGTTGCATACCGCCAGCAGAAAGCACCCACACAAGAGGGTCAATATTGTGCAGCCTAAGTACGGCCTCACTCGAGCCCTACGATGCTGACATAACACACGTGACTGGACGATCCGCATCCCGTGACTTCACCGCCACAGGGATTTGTCAGTGGCGATTAACATCGGAAGTTGGGAGAGTTGCTGCCTGACTCAGAAAAGACTGGGTACCTAATGCACAGTTGCGGAAAACAGGCAGACCCGGCGTATCCATATGTTCTCATTGGTAAATTTGGACCTATGAGTCATGGTAGCGTCGGAGTCGGTGGCCAAAACGCGGTGTTGTCAGGCTTGACAGTGGATCAAGAGTATAAGATCATGGCCTGTCCCTGCATAGTATGGCAAAGATTTTCAGGTATCTGCAGGTCAGCTCGGCAACGCCGCGACAAAAGAAGAGAAGCTCGGAGAAGCGCGTCTGCAGCAGAGTTAGGAGCGCCTGCGCCACAGTGGCGGAAAGCCGGAATCAGCGCTCGCGTATAAAAGGAAGCCGCAGGTGCCGAATTTTTCAGGTTCCAAGGCATCCTCCTTTCTTCCATCTACAATCTACATCTACTTCAACTGTCGCATCGCCATTTCTTCCCCCCCCCACTTTTTTGATCACCAGATCCCTCTTTCTACTTCTATCTCCACCCTGTATCTTTGTCAGTGTGGGCTTGACTGATCTTTGACGCGTCCTGCTGGTATCTTCATTCCATCACAAACCCCCTCAGCTAGTGTGGGGTCGACGCGATATGGGAGACGGATCTGACTATCCTAGTCCCCGAAGTGAAGCTCCGCACGGGGCTACTGCTGCCTCTGCCCTTGCCTCTGCTACAGAGACTCTGTCCTCAATTGCCAGAATGAATGAGTCCATGAGCTACATAGAGGGCACGCGCCCGCGCCTCTCCGTCCGACGCGCCCGCGATCCCCCCAAGAACCCCGAAGGCCAGATTTACTGCGACCATCCGGATTGCCAGAATGCGCCCCCTACCTTCCGCCGTCCTTGTGAATGGAAGTAAGTTGACCTCACCGTCGCTATCGCGCTCAATGCTCAATGCTAACTTGATTCGCTAGCAAACATATGGACAAACACGATCGCCCCTACAAATGTTTCGAACCCGGCTGCGACAAGATTCAAGGCTTCACCTATTCGGGTGGTCTCTTGCGCCACCAGCGCGAGGTCCACAAGAAGAATACTGACGCTAAGAAGCCTTTGATGTGTCCCTATACCGATTGTAACCGAAGCACCGGCAACGGGTTCACGCGCCAGGAGAACCTTCGAGAACATCTTCGACGTCGCCACATGCATGCTGACGATGGAACCCCCCAAGTCATGGTCGATTTGCCCTGGGAACGTGCCAATGAGCTGGAAGGCCTCCGGGCCAACTCACTTCCCGCCACCGGCATCAAGCGCAAGCATGACTCGCCCAACGGCGACCTTCCTGAGTCAGATGAGGCCGGCCCTGAGCTCCACAATGAGGTCAAGCGACTGCGCCGCGAGGTCCAGGAGAAGGATCGCCGCCTGGAAGAACTAGAGCGCATTGTCGCCGGCCTGCAGCAGGCCATTCCCCAGCAGCCCGGACACGCCGAGTCCCAGTCCATCTCGTTGCCCCCCATGCCCGAGCCTGCCGCTCCCCAAGTTTGATGTCAACAATACCGAATCAATACTGATTCTCTTCTCTACAACTTGATTTACTTGCATTCTGTTGGCGTTCACAAAATGGTCTCGAATATGTTTCCACTTTCCTCCTGTTTCTGCATCTGCACTCGGCTATGTTGGGTGGTTTCATCTCAGTGTGCCACGTCAATGAGCTGAACCGGGTACTATGGCGTTTTGCTTGACAGTGCGATGAGCCAGGCGGTGTTCTCTTTTCCAGTGCCTCGAGGGTTTTACGCCTCATATACCCCGGCGTCTGTTGCGATTCTGTCGCCGTCTCCAATGTCGTGCCCCATCTACTTATCTTCATCTTTTAAACAATCTTCCAGTAGGATATTCTAATGTATCTTCTTATCGCTACATTTGTGATTTTACGTATCTTATCATCAGAAATTGAATGGCCAAGTTACCCCCGTACGAGCAGAATGGTAGCAGGCCTAAATTTGTAACGCATCTCCCATTTACCTTCGTGGCTTGACCACCTGTCCAGCTAGCCGCTTGGAAGTTGAATAGGACGCCAATCCTTGAAAGGTCCTGATCTCGGCGTGATTTATGATAGCGGAGGGTGGGCGGTCCTCTCCGGTAAGCCAATCTCGAGTGAAGGCTTTTACTCTTTTTCGCAGAGGCGTGAAATGGCATTTTGGATTGTAGGATATCTTGGGTGCTGTATACTTCGTCTTGGCATCCGCGATGCCTTCCTCAGGCTGCAACATCAGCCACACTCACGCCTGAGGCCTCAACCCCGTTTTATCATTTTAGTTCGAGCCGCTAGCGGCTCCCCGAACCATCTAGGCACGCGAGACCATGAGTCGTGCCACGAGGCTGCGGATACGAATGACTCATATAGACATAAGATGACCCCCATGCTGACAGCCGTGATGGGGCCGGGTCCGGATTTAATGCGTGGATCATGGATCTCGGCCTTACGGAATTAAAGTTGACTAGAAGTCTGAGTACGGCTTAGAAATACCATAAGGTTTTGGAGATGATAGAATCATCATGCAATTCAGGGATATCATAAGTCCTAATAAATGAAAAGTATACTGTACACCGACACCGGGTAACATGCAAGAGACATCTGGATCACGCCTTATTCCACTTTCCGAACTTTACGTAGTCATCGTACAGCGATTTGAATACAGCGCGGCCTGACATATCCAGTGCGGCATTGAGAGCGCGCATTGATTCCTTGGACATCACGTCCAGTGCAGCGTAAAGACCAGGCATCAGCGCGGCCTTGACGTCCGGTTGGAGCGCTGCGTTGAGAGATACTCTGGTGTATGCCGTGACGACGTACTGCAGGTATTGACCCGCGATGCGCTTCGCCTTCTTAGTTTCGTCGGTGAGGGCTTCGCGAGACGCGCCGGCCTGGGGGCGGAGCACGGCGGAGACAGTGGGGTCGCAAAGGGAAGTGAGGAGGCGAGTATAGTGGGCGGTGTCCGAGGCACTGAGTGGGGCAAGCCAGAAGGGATGCGAGAGGCTGGTTTGTGTCTTCGTCCGAGACCGCTTGCGTGAGGTTGCGAACAGACAGGATAAAAGGCGCTGCATGGCGTTGACCACGAGGTGGAAGCGACCGCCAATCTTGAGGCGTTGCAGTCCCAGGACGAGTCCCATCAGGCGGCAGAGACGCGTGTAGATGGCAGGAGCGTATTCGGGGGAGATGCGGGGGCCGACCTTAGAGGCACACGATCCGATGGACGTCAGGATACCATCCACGTTGCACTGCCCCAGACTGCGGGTGTGAGTGCGTAACAGAAGAGACAGGCACTCGGCCATCAAGCAGAACTGGGTGATGGAGGTGCATTTAGGAAGAGCAGTTGTAAGATCAAGGCCGAGCTGGGACAGCTCTTGGGCTGCTGAGCTTTCCTTGTCATCGATTGGAGGAAGCGAGACCAGAGCTAGGTAGATAACCAGCAATGTGTAACCGGCATTGTCACCAGTGAAGCCGAGCTCCCGAACTTCACGGATTGCTTGGCTGATCTTCTCCGGTGCCATAGAACGGAAACGTTCGGTAGTGGCCCGCATGAATAGCTGCTGGTCTTCAGCGTAGAGTGACTGCAGCGTCAGAGTCTCGGCGCACTTCAATACCGGCTTTGTGATGTTCTTCTCGGGTCCCTTGCTGGCAAGGAGACGGCGACGAATCAACCTAGATGGGGCTGAGTCGATAGACATCTCCATGTAGTGCTCAATCTTGGACAAAAACTTCTCCACCTCAATGTTGTTCGTCACCAGGTCCTCAAAGTCCTCCAGAGCATCGATGGTCTTGATAAGGGTAATGGTTTCCTCCAACTTATGCTTCTTGCACTGCTCCTTAACAGACTTCATGTCCGCCAGAATCAGACCGAACACACGTTCGCGACAGGCGGCCAGCTCATCTTCCTGGAATGCCTCGTGCAGTTGTTTACGGTGGCTCCACAGCTCTGACAAGGTCAGACGGAGGAGGAAGTCGGCCATGGACTTCCGATCAATTTGTCGCAACTTGGACGCCTGCTTGGATGTTCTCGCAAACACCTTCTTGGTCATTTCGATCCGGTTGTCCTCTTTCAACACCAATAACTTAGCAATGACCGCACGGTGGAAGCTCCGGAAGGCTTTCATGATCTGAAGATCCACCTCCGTACCCTGAAGATTGATAGCTCGGGCAACAGTGGAGACCGGTTCCCATTCGGCCGTCACGATTGCATCACACTTGGGCATGGCCGCCAGCTTCGCCATCATAGTCAATAGACCGACAGTGAGTTCCGGAGAACTATCTTGATGGAGCAGAATACTGTGGAATTTGTTCAGAATGGCTGTCCGGAGACCACGAGTGATCAAAGCGGTCGGGATTCTCTGCATGCTCTCTACGCAGAGATGACGGTTGTGATGGTCGTTCTCAATAGTCTGGTTTAGAATCTGTACCAAGTCTGAGACAATGAACGGTACGCTGAGCAAGTATTCATGACACACAACGCTCGCCCACGCCTGAAGGAACCGCGCGTCATCAGCGATGGCCTCAAGAGGCGGCGACGATGTCCGGTATTGAACAGCGGCCATGGAAAGAATATGCTCGAGCTGACGAGAGCGTTTCTCCGAGGGAACATGCTCCCAGGCCTCTGGCA